CTTGTGGACAGACGAAAGTTTGTTTACAAGAGAAGGAATTTACAACTAGCATAATTTATACTATTATGCTGATAAAAATTTCTTCATAAGGTCAAAAAATTTTCAGTATCGTTGGAAAGTAAACGTATGGAGAGGAATTGTCGGAGACCAGAGATTCTCATATCAACTTCCGGACGTTTTTGGGGTAAATATCACTACATCTGTGACTCGATGATTCATCTACACAGACACGCACACATTTAAAAAATAACGTATCCATTTTATCTCAGGATGAACAGTACGCTATTTTTTTCGAGGAGATCTTTCCAGATTTGCTGGACGCTGTTCCCCTGGCAAATCGACCTTGGTCGATCTTGGTTGACCTCGATGTTGGTCCTAGCAAGATAGTGCACCACCGCATAATACTTGGCGTGTAAAAGAATATTTTAATGCCTACGTTAGACGTCACGTCTGGACGTTGGTTCGGTGCTCCGGTCCGCTGGCCACGGTAATTCGTTTGAACTTATGTCATTAAAAATCGTTGTATAAATAAATTTTCAATAAGTTAACTTTTATTATCAGTTCGCTTGATCTTTCGCCTTTGAACTTCTTTCTTTAGAGTTACTTAAAAGAAAAAGTTTACGCGGAAGAACCAGAGGACATATAGAAAGTGATAGCCCAATTATACGCTGCTGTAGCAATGATAGATGCCGAAATGCTTCAGTATGTAAGAGACGAAATCGTTCGGAGAGTCCACGCTTGTCCGGCAACAAACGGAGAATTACTTGAGGCGTTCTGAAAAAAGTTAATTGTTATAAGTTAATAGTTATTTGTTAATGATTAATCGTTATTTATTAATAGTTAATAGTTAATTGTTAATAGTTAATTTTTTGTTCCAAATAAATTAATTAATTAATTACGTAAATTAAATTACTTACGCATCGTTAATTTCGGATTTTAAAATGATAACGTCATCGAATTGTAAGAAGAAAAAATACATAAGAATTATACATGTCAACGTTATAAAATAATCAAAATAAATTTTTCACGAGCAATTTGTTTAAAAAACAACTAATTTTTTAAAAGAACTAATTTTAATTGAAAACTGATAGCTTCATCGGTTTCTACGAAAGAAAATATATAAGAACCATACATAATACATGCCAAAACAATTTTTTAAGAGATCGTTTAAACAATTTATTTACAAACAATTTGTTTTGATAATGTTTTTTGCCAATAATCTTTTTTTGTCCCCGTGCTTTTTTGTAACAAATATCTCGTAATTAGTTTTGCCCCATTTTTTATAGCTGCTAGGTTAGCTATAAAAATTAAATAACTGAATGAAATTTGAATAAATAATTGAATTAAATAAACAAATAAAGAAATAATAAATAACAATAAAAAACTACCATAAAATGGATAAATTTCTAACTGCAACTTATTCTCACTTATTTATTTATTTATTTACTTATTTATTTGTTTATTTACTCATTTATTGATTAATTCATTTCATTTTATTTATTTATTAAATAATATAAAAAATTAGAATAAAATTTTAATCGGGAAAATGTACAAAAAGCACAAGAGACTTCATGGCATGCTACGCTTCTGCTTACTCTGATTGGGCGCAATCTGATTGATCAACTTTAATCGTTAATAACTCGATGATGGTCTGAGTCAAAATTGAGAAAGGAACATTTAGTTCAAAATTCTATCCTCTTTCACCCCTTAAAATATTAATTAAGAGTTATGGGACACTCGTATATACATAAATACATATATACGTATATAAATAAATATCCGCATATACATAAATCAAATAAATAATAGATACATATATATTAGGTGTACAAAAAAGTTCTGAGCTTTAGATTTCATACAACCGAAATAACAATTTAAATTTT